AGCCTGACTCAGGGCTAGAACCCACTAACCGTGAGATCATGACCTGAGCCAAGGTCAGACACTTAACCTACTGAGCCTTCCAGGTGCCCCTTGATTACTCTTTTAAATTCCTTGAGATATGAAGTCCAATGACTATAGATCCTTTTCATTATTGCTGTTATCATCATCATGATTATTTATAGAAGAATTCTCTAGATAAGAGTGGAGACGAAATGTTCTCTCTCTATGCTATGCTTATCAGCCAATATGCCTTTTTAACAGCAGGATACATTCCCGATGTTTGAACACTTCTGGTGCCAAGCAATTTACTCATTTTTGTTACTATCTCTCTTGAGTAGCCAGCACAGTGACGGCCCCAGACACGCCATTAACACTGGGGTTATTCCTTGAGTTTGAACTAAACTGAAATGGAGCCCCCTCATATCATATCTGAGTAAACTGTAGCCTAAGCCAAAAAGAAGTTGAATTATTTGTTTAGAACTCTTAAATTTTAGTGTAGTATTATTTTTTCACACCAGAATGACTACAAATTTTGCTCATTTGTCTCATTATAAGTTGACAAGAATCCTAGAAAATTTTACACAACAAATCGTCAGAAACTGGTGCAAGTTAAAATATGCTATTCAGCCATGGAAACACTAAACCAATAGGTATTTATAAAAAGGACAAACAAAAATTATGCTAGCTAAAGCTTAAGGTTAAGTATTCTAAGTCTGACAGAATAAAGATGTATCTTTTTTTAATTTTCAGAGTAGGAATATACAATACATTCTACATGATATACTATTTTTTCTACAGTACATCCCTAGAAAGGGATGTTCAATTCATACTGAAAACACATTCTTTAAAGAGAGCCAGTTTTAAAGTTTTTCAAAAAATTAATCTGAAAGTAATTTAACAGACTTAAACTTTGGAAAGAGCAAATAAAATGAGTAAGATTCTCATAACCTTCCATCAAGCAGGGGAGCTCCTGAACATGGAAACCCTGGTCTGCTTTCACACTTCCCTTCTGCCCAGTTAAACCTCAGATAAAACTTACACTGTGAACTTCCAGGGATGCTCATGTGTAAGGTGCGATGTAAAAGAATGGATGAAAAGTTATTACTATTCCTATCTCCCAACACAGAGGCATCGGGGCGGCAGAGGAAATTATATCCATGACTATAACTAAAGCAATGACTCATCTGTGTTATTTGTCCTGCTTACTCTTCTACCTAGAACATGAGTAGCGACTGGATAAAGGAGAAATAATATTATTCCAAAGTTTACCACATGCCAAGCACCTTACATATAGTAACTCATTTATTTCACCACACCATGCATATTGTTATCTCCCTCTAAACAGGAGGAGAAAAAAAGTAAATAATTTGCCAAAACTGATACAGATAGGAAGTGTTACATTAGAAATCTGAAACTGAGTTTGTTTGGCTTCTAGCCTTTTTTTTTTTTTAGCTAGAGCATATGTTCTCCACTCTGAATTAAATGAATGTAATTATTGGCAGCTATATATGTGAATAATACATGTAGGTTTACTGTATCACACTACAAGTTGTGTGTGTGTATATATATATATATATGTACACACACACACACACACACACACATTTATATGCAGACTGTTCTCTCTATTGAAAACACTAGCTTTTTCCCTTAGTTCCCAGATTTCCACCAGTTCCTCTTATTTTCCATGTAGAAGAAAGAGCTTTGAAATTTAATCCCCTAATCGGACCCTAATTTAGGAAATGTTACTGGAAGGGCAGCTGTGCTTAGCCTGTGATAAATACAAATGACAAAAGACAACTGAAGAAGAGTGATATATTCCCAAAGATAGAGTTCAGGCAGAAGTTGGGAGGAACTAAGTATTAGAAGACTAGACATCTCGCAACAATTTCTTATAATATTACATCACTAATTTTGGAGTAAACTTCCAAATTGCTAAGCACACTTGCATTCAATTTTCAGTACAAAGATTTATTTTAAACTCAAATGTGATAGCTGAATGAGCCATACCTCCTCTCCACTTTGTTAACATAGATAATCAAGGGTTAACTATAGTCAAATATAATGAAGGAAATACATTGAATGCAGCAGTAATAGTTCATATGTACACAAGGATAAATGCAAACAAACAAACAAACAAAAACCAGCAAAGACCTAAAAGACACTAGAATTCCCCAATGACTGAACAAAATAATTATGATAGCCTTTACATATTCCTAAAATGTGTCATTTTATGTGGATTTTTAAAAAGAGCTTGAGTAGTAAAATATATGCCCTCCAATTTTATCTATAATCAGATCAGACTGCGATGATAGTTAAGTTGTATAATGCCTAGATATTTCAAGGAATGACATACTGCAGATAGGTAAAAACAAATAGCATTCAAAAGTTAATCCAATATTAAAGGACCACCATTTCCTGCAGAGTGAAAACATAGAAAGATTTGCAAAAAAGGCAAAGTAAATAAAATGACCACTAAATCTATTGATAATATTATTAAAACAATATGAAACACTTTAATGATTAGTTACATAAGTATGATTTCTTGGCCATGTAGCAAAAGGGAGAAAAAGGTCAATAAACATAATCATGCATGCGCTATGACTAATGTGTTAGAAGTAGAAAAAAATCTTAAACTTAATGGGAACCATTGTAATTGCAACTGGTATATAGCTAACTCTACCAATGACTAGCCAATTCTCGCTTTAGTCTTGAGTATTAGATACTGACCCAACAGTGTAGGGCCCTAGGACCACTAAACCGTTCCATTGCAAATTGCAGTTAGTTTTATGCCCCTTCAGTTGAACATTTATATTAAATTTTAACATTAGACTTAACTTATTGTAGAGTGATATGCTGGCGTTGCAGTGGTTCATTTTGTTCTATGATGTATTATTACTCTATAAATGGAAATCTTTCCTAATTAGGATTCAATTAAGAGAAAGCAGAAGGCAAAAGATTATGCCAAAGAGAGCCTTCATGATATTAGTAAAGGGTGAAAATATCTTAGATGTGAAAATTAAAAATAAACTTGGGAAAGAATCTGCAAATAGGATGTTTTCAAGAGGGAATAGATGATGTTTCAGTACTACTTATATCTCCAAAGTTGGTATTTCCACCCCAAAATGCAGAAAATGTCTTCATAATGTTAATGCAACATAATATATGTTGGAAACATGTTTACCAATTTATTGGAAGTGTCTAGCATGCCTAATGGCAATGGATCACATTCCCTATATTTCATCTAAGAAAATGGTTAGAGTTGGGTCTACGTCATGCTTCCATTTTAATTAAAGGTATCTAACAAATGCACTTCAAGGATTAAATAATTTTAAATTGCTTTTGGCACCTAAACTGATTTGGCTGCCACACTAACTACGGACAATGAAGCCACTTTTTTGTTTATGTGTTTGTTTTCATTTCACAACTGAACTTATGCATTCCTACCGTACAAAGTTCTATCAAGTTCAGGTAGCTATTTCATGAAAATGCATTATCTTAAGAGTATACAGTTAGTGATATTAGTAGATCAATGTATATTTTTTTCTGTTAATATCCAATATCCAAAGATAAAACCCTAGCTTTAGGAGACAAGCAAAATGAGCATGTTCAGTAATATTAGTCTACATAAAAATATTATAAGAAGCTAGGCCATTGTCATTAGTCATGATAAGAATGTCTCCTAGGATATGTAAGTCAAAGAAAGTTTATGTGGCAGAATTATGTAAGGAAACTTACAATAGTGCCTGCCCACAAACCATGCAATTTGGAAACAGCCAAGAAACAAAACCATAGAGAAGGAGAGATAAATACAACATGTATTAGGGGTTATTATGCAACTACAAAGATTCGATATGACCCTGGAAATATAGCAAAAAATAGTTATGGAAAAGAAGCTATTTCTTATGCTCAGTAGCTAATTTTCAAACATATGTACCTGTATTTGAAACTTTGAGCATTTCACACATTTTTCTGTATCTGAAAAAAAAATGGATCCAGACTGATATTGTGTATCAATATAGCTGAAAACAGTCAATAAAAAGGTAGCCAAAAGCAAAGTTCAATAAGAATTCTAAAAAAGGATATTATTTTGATTGCTGATAAAACACTTCTGATGTATACTTTGCTCATATTGGAAAAGAATAATTTACTGTTCAATTTTCCTAGAAAGGATGAAATATCTATAAGATGATTTCATAAAATGTTTGATTAAATAAAAGCTAGATTAAAATGTCTAGGTCAAACTGCATATATAATTAGAAGCTTTAGAAATAATATATAACTCCATTTTGAGAATATATATATTTCAATATCTAACAGTTAATTAAATCTATTTTCCACATAATTTACGATATACATAATTGTCTATTTTCATTTTAAAATGTTCAAGGGCATTGGATCTATGAAAACAACATATATATTTTAATCCTCTATTCTGGAAAATTAAGAAATGCATACACTTCAGGACAAATGTATTTAATATAAGGTGTATTTAACATAATACAAGAAAAGTACATCAAGTTTTCTTATCCATGTGAATATAAGTATTACATATGAAATACTTATAATACACAGTATGATTTGAAGGGGAATGAATATTACGACAATAGTGGTAGTAGAAAAGTCCATATGACCCAGTCCATAATTCATATGTTCTGATTTGAATGTATATTATGTATTGAATATATAACACAAATATATCTTCCCATTTGTGGGCATTTGACTGGGACTACCACATTTTATGTATATTTAAAGAAAACAAAATGAGAGTGCTAGAGACAGATTTAAATTATATGCAATAGACTTAGTGAATATATGACCAAAACGGAACCAGTAATAATAATCATAGTTTAAATGTTGGGTGTGACCATGATGTGGTCTAATTTATATTGAATATAGACTATTTATAAATATTTAAACCATTTTCAACCAACATACATAACATCAAATTTCAAAATGCATGCCTTTCTCATTTTCTGTCTTTTGTTTTTTTAACTTACTGCTTTGTAAGTTCTCTTTTGTCCAGCATGCTTCCGAATTTGTTCCCCATTTGGTCCTGTTTCCACATGCATCGAATAGATAATGTCAAAGAAATCTTCAACCACAGCTACCCGCCGCAAAGACAGCTTCTCATCTACCCCTACACCATCCTGGAAACAAAACAAACAAACAGAAAAAGACAAAATTAATAAAGAAGTGTGTATTTAACACAAAGAGTTAATTAAACAAAAACAGTTTGATAAACTGAGCCAAATCATCCAGATAGCAAACTTCAAAAAATTGTGAGTGAATATCGCATAATTTCACACATTTACATATAGAACTTTAAGAAATATGAAAAAAAGATATTTGGCATAGTGATCATGCTTACCCATAAATAACATCTTCTAAGTTTTATAATGACTTATTTGTTGCCATCACCACAACATTCTTAAATTATTCTAAAATATATTTTAAGGCTTAGTAATTTTCATTACAACAATTTCATTCTAAATATTGATTTAATCATCCAATCAATATTTATTGAGTTGCTGGGTATTGGAAGCTGTTATTAGAGAAATAAATAACATGAAATCCTTAACCTTAAACACTATATAATCAAAGACGAGACTAAGGGGCAATAAGTGTTCAAGTTAAAAATGTAAGCTCTAGAGACAGTCTAGGTATGAATTTTGGACCTTCCACTCAGAAATAGTATGTTTTGTGCAAAGCACTAAAATTCCTCTAAATTTCACTCTTCTCAAATTTCAGTTTTCTCACTTGGAAAACAGAGATAATAGAGTTCGCTTTACAGAATCGTAAGAATCAAATGAAATAACATAGGAAAAGGATGTGACTCAATGATTGGCATATAGTGAACATTTGACAAATGGGGACTCTTGTCATTTTAACGAATATGATAAAAATATAAACAACATACGCTAGGAGTTGAAAGAATAAAGATAATCACCTCTGGCTGAAGCAGCTTCTTAGGAGAAACAGAATTTGATGTGGTTGGGAATTCACACAGGTTATAAGCCATGGCGGTAGGAAGTGTAGCAAAAAGCAAAAGGTTCCCATAAATGATGGGAAATAAGAAATTTATAAGAAAAGAGTAAGAAATTTGGAATTAGACAAGAAAGAAATTTAATCTTACATGAAAAGGTTTCCTATTTGTCAACACAGACATGCACACACGTGCATACCCACACAATGTTCTTATGTGGACCCTGAGGCACTATCTGAAGTAACACAATGTAGGCATTAGTGTTGGTGTACAGCATAAGAAAGTGATTAATCTGAGCTAAATTATTATGCAGTCAATGAGTCAAATGGCAAAAGCCTTTTTGAGCAGTAATCCCAGCAGACTGAGCTCACTGCAAAACTCAAAACAAGTCACGCAGTACTTTTTTTTTTTGGTTTTTATTAGTTTTTTTCTGATTTATCATAGGTCTCAAGTAGCAGTGTCTGAGGCAGCATATTCAAATAACTATGCATATATATTTAAATAACTGCATATATATTCAAATAAATATATATTCAAATATGTGTGCATTGTGTATTTCACTTCTGTTAAATATGAACCATTCCTCCAGTTACCTATGATGCATGTGATTCCTCATTAGGCTTTAGATCTCACTTCTCTCCTTTAACATCTTTTTTTTTTTTTTTTTTTTTACAAATAGTTTATTGTCTCCTTTAACATCTTAAGCCATCCCTTCTTCTATAGTGAGTCTCATGGATAATCCCTTATTGTTTTGTGATACAAGAGCAGTATATATAGTGAAAGTACAGGGAAACTGCAGGAAGCATGACCATAACTACTCCCAAAAAACTGTAGTAGCCTAGAGTACAGTGCCTGGGAAGCTCCATTTCAGATGCCCATCCCCCAATCGCCCAACCTACACCCACTCCTCAGAGAACATCCACTGTTCCTAGGCTAGATATCCAAATATTACCTCTACCCACCAGCAAAACCACCCATAAAATTTTGTCTTTTCTCCAACTCATTAAATTTATACAGTTTTCTCTTAGTTCCTCTGCTGGATAATCAGAAATAGAGTAATTTTATACAGTTAATAAAATATGAGCAATGTAGGAATCACAGCCTACTTATTCACTCTTTCAACAATTATCCCAGAAAGACCAAATATATGGCCAAGTCTTCTACTAAGTGCTAAAATTACCAAGGTGAGACAGATAATCGAGGTCTTTGTGGAGTTCACAGTCTAGTACAGAAAATAAATATGAAACAAATAATTGTTAGAGTTGTATACTGATTTCCTGTGACTTTGATAGTAAATTAGCACAAAAATGGTAGCTTAAAACAAGAGAATTTATTTTCTCCTAGCCCTGGAGACCAGAAGCCCAAATTCACAGATGCTGGCAGAGCTGCCTTCCCTCTGGAAGCTCGAGGGGAGAATCCATTCTTCACCTCTTGCAGGTTTTGTGGGTGCTAGCATTCCATGGTGTGAGGCCATATCACACTGCCTTCTTCATTTAGGTGGTTTCTCCTCTGTGTGTCTCTTTCTCTTAATGAATCATTTTATCTGAAGGCATTTAGGGCCCAGCCAGATGATCCAGGATAATCTCTTCACTCAATATCCTTAACTTAATTGTATCTATGAAGACTCTCTTTCTAAACAAGGTAATATTTACAAATTTCAGGGATTAAGACTTGAAATCTCTAGATAGCCATCATAGGTTGTATGAATTAGAGAACAGAATTAGAGTACGGAGGGTATAAATTGGGCCATGGGAACATATGTAGGAAATGCTTCACTAGCAGTGGTTAACAGTGAATATTCTTTCAAGAAAGTCTAAATTCAGTGTTAATCAAGATAATATTAAAATCACATACATTGTGGAAGGGCAATTACATTGGGGAAGGGCAATCACCTATTGTCCTTCACCTATATGGATCTGCTTACTTGCAATTGTGATTAAGCTCAATTTACACCCACATTCTTATTAAAACTTAAAAATGTCATAACCAAGTAGGATAATCCCAGGTACACAAGGTTGATTTAATATATAAAAATTAATTAAGGTTTATATTTCTATTCTGAGAGAGAGTATATGCATGTGGGAGGCGGGAAGGGGCAGAGAAAGAGGGAGAGTGAGAATCCCAAGCAGGCTCTGTGCTTTCAGCAAAGATCCCAACACAGGGCTCAATCTCATGAACTGCAAGATCATGATCTGAGCCAAAATGAAGAGTCAGATGCCTAACTGACTGAGCCACCCAGGTGCCCCCAAAATTAATTAATATAATACACCGTAAGAAAGAATAATGGATAAAAACCACCTCAATAGATGCAGAAGAAGCATTTAACAAAACCCAACATACTTTCCTAAGAAAAACTTAGTACACTAGAAAGAAATTTTCTCATGATAAAGGACGTCTCTAAAAGCCCTATGACTAATATTTAATAATGAAAGACTGAATGTTTTCCTATTATGAACAGGAGCAAAACAAGAATGTCTGCTCCAGCCACTGTTATTTAATGGCTTCTTGGAGGTACAATTAGGTGAAAGAAAAGAAAGGAAGAAGAAAGAAAGAAAAGAAAGAAAAGAAAGAAAGAAAGAAAAGAAAGAAAGAAAGAAAGAAAGTCACCTAAATTGAAAAGAAAGAAGAAAAACTATCTGTATTTGTAGATGACATGATCCTATATGTAGAAAACTCTGTGGAATTCACCAAATAACTGTTAGAACTAATAAGTTAGTTCAGAAAATTTGAGGATCATAATAAGTAATATACAAAAATCAACTGCATTTCCATTCATTAGCAAAAAAATCCAAAAATGAATTTGGAAAATAATTTCATTTACAATGGCATCTAAAAATTAGAATACAAGGTATAAATTTAGATAAAAAGTTAAAAAAGTGCAATACTTGTATATTGAAAGCTACAAAACATTGTTATAAAATATTTTTAATGATCGAATAAGTGGAAAAATATCCTATGCTCACAGCACAGAGGGTTAATATTGTTAAGATGGTAATATTCCAAAAACTTATTTACAGATTCAATGTAATCCCTATTTAAAAATTATGGCTAGTTTTTTGCAGAAATTGACAAGTCAAAGTTTATATGTAAATGCAAGTTACTTAGAATAGCTAAAATAATCTTTTAAGAGAAGAAATTTGGAAGTTTCATACTTCTTGACTTTAAAACTTACTATAAATCTTACATAATAGACAACATGGTACTGAGATGAAAATAGATATATAGACCAATGGGATAGAATTAAGATCCCAGAAAAACCTTACATTAATTTTCAATCCATTTTCAATAGTAGTGTCCAAACAATGTAGTGGGGAAAAAATAGTCTTTTCAACAAATGATACTGGGACAACTGGATACTCACATATAAAAGAATAAATTTGAATCCCTACCTTACACCATACATAAAAATTAAGTCAAAATGAACCAAAGATCTAAATGTAGAAGCTAAAACTTAAAATTCTTTAAAAAATAAACCACATCATAGGAGTAAATGTTTTTAACCTTAGGTAAGGCAAAGTCGTCTGGGTTATAAAACCAAAAGTAAAAGCAACAAAAGAAAAATTAATTGAACTGCAGTAAAGTTAAAATATTTTTATGCTGAAAATGGCACCCTCAAAAAAGTGAAGTAACCCACAGAATTGGGAGAAAATGTTTGAAAATCAAATATCTGTTAAGGGGTTAATATCCAAAATATGTAAAGAACACATTCAACTCAATAGCTAAAAATACAAACAATTCAATTAAAAAATGAATGAAAGATATCATTTGGCATTTTCCAAAGAAGACACCCGAATGGACAACAGGTACATGAAAAGGCACTCATCATCACTAACCATCAAGTAAATGCAAATCAAAACCGCAATGAGCTATCACTTCATACATGTTTGAATGACTATTATCAAAAGAACAAGAAGTAACAAGTGTTGGTGAGGATGTGGAGAACAGTGATCCCTTGCACTCTGCCGGTGGGCATGTAAACTGGTGCAGAACTATGAAAACCAGTATTGGATATTCCTCAAAAAGTTAAAAATAGAACTACCTTATGACCCAGCAATTCCAGTTGTGTATTTATCCAAATACAAAACAAAAACACCAACTTGAAAAGATACATGCACCCCCATTTCCATTGCAGCATTATTTACACTAGCAATGTCATGA